TCAGTACATTCACAAACAGTTGTGGAAACAAACCCATGTTTCAAACCCTAACCAAGACAGATTCATGCACAGATGATAATGTGCATACACAAGTAGGTGAGCTTGTACATGATGCAGAGTCATTTGTGAAACAATTAGTGAAAACTTATGCTACTGTGTGTGTATGTGTGTAATGGCGAAGCTTCGGTCCCTGATTCGATTCAGCAGAGATTCAGCCTAATTTGGTGGCTGAATCTCTGAATCCAAATCGACTCAGAGGACCCTTTAATCTCTCCGAATCGAATTGGAACCCTTTGAATCAATTCAGAGAGATTTGGAAAGATTCGGAGATTTGGATATAAAGACAGCTTTAAATAAAGACAGCTTTTTTTCTACCTACCTATAGATAGCAGGGGCTCATGAATGCTGTGTTGCCGGGGCTCATAGTGTGTCCCACAGGAGTGTGAGGCCTGCCCAGTGCACTTGGCAGCAGACCCAGAAGTGGACCAGAAGCACTTCCGGTCCATTTCTGGGTCCACTGGGGAGCACGTGGGGGGGCCCCCCCACCCCTCCTCCAGCTTGGTGACTGGGTCTGGGGCGGGCACCCGGGGTCCCCCTGCAGCCGATCACTGAGCTGGGGAGGCATGGAGGGCCCCTCCAGCACGCTCCCCGGCAGACCCGGTCCACTTCCAGGTTCACCACCAAGCACATGGAAGGCCCTCCCGCACTCCTGTAGGATGCTCCATGCACCCCAGCATCGCAGTGATCACAAGCCACACCTGCTACCTCAAGGTACGTAGGAAAAACTTTTAAAGCTGTGTCTATGTCCTAATTGCTGATTCTCCACATCAGCATCAAATCTTCAGATTCAGATTTGGCCAAATATATATATATATATACACACACACACACCCGTAAATATACGTGTGTGTGTGCTGACAAACAGTATACCAGCTGAATTCAGTGGATGATTTGCCTGACTCAGAGCTCCATAAGTGGGTCATCATTAATTAAAACAGGGAACAGCTAGAGCAATGTAATTTTTTAGAGATTTCTATTTTGCTATATTTTATTCTGGCTAATTTATAGACTATCATTTGCTAAATTGCTGAAATAAGTGGAATAAGAATAAATAAAATATACAGCAAGAATAAATGGAAAACCTCACTCATAATGCCTTCATCCCAATCTCAGCAAATCACAGTAAAAGGATTCTCTTTCTTTTTCTGAGATGATTGATATAAAAGTGCCTTCTTGCTATGGCATGGGTGGTATATGCACAGGCAGACAGACAACTTTATATCAGCAAAGATCAAACCATGATAGGTAACATATACTAGTAAATAACTTTAATCTGGCAAGTGTCATGGAACAACATACTACTAAACTATAACTCTTAAATATTAATTAGTCTGATGAATCCAAAAACTGTTCATCAGCAGTCCATTATCATACTATATTGCTATGAGCATAATATATGCCCAGAAAAATATTTTCACTGTAAACAGAAAAAATGTCCTGGCTCTCATTTAACTAGTTCAATCCTGAAATGGAAAAGGAAGATCAATACTGAATTTCCATTGAGACCTATTTCTACTATTTTATGTCCTGGGGCAGGTCTCATTCGAGGTCACCTACTAGTGCTTCGCTACGTTCAGCTTCAAAAGCAAATTAAGGTGGATTTGGGGTGTGGTACCAATACTTAGTATACTTGAAAGAGAACTCCAGTTTAATGAAGAGACAAGCAGCTTCAAAGTAAGGGCTAAAATAGCTGACCTCAGCCCCACTCACTTGTAATAAGTATAGGTTTAAAACAACTGAGAATATATCCTCAACTTATTATCATCTAGAGTCTTGCAAGTGAAAAAAAGTTCATGAGAATTATCATCATATAGCATAAAAACTACTCTGTTATTCTATGCCAACCTCCCACACAATCATGATTAAAGTATTTTGGAGTGGTTTAAATAGGGGTTTCTGAATTACTATATTTGGTTCAGTAGCAAAACCAAAAATTCAGGTTGGATCAAGTCAAAATAAAATAATTTTATTTCATGTATTTCATACCAAAGCAGTATTCCTCTCCCTTGCAGGTCCAGCAGTTTTGTGACATGCTCCATTCAGTCCAAAACAGATTGTTTCTTTTTCAGGAATATGTAATAAGATCTAGATTCAGTGCTAGAGAAGGTGATGGTGGTGGTGCCCTTTATCTTTTTAACTATGTTTAACCAGGAGCCCATTGTTTAGGGCACTTATCCAGGATATAGGAGATATCCCCTTCTCTGTCTGAATAATTTTAAACCCACATCCACTATCGCCCAGAAATGTGTCCCAACCACCAGGCAGTAGGGTATTCTGAGGATAACCTATTGCATTGTCAGAGGCATAACAGTGTGGCCAGGTATACAAGGTCAGTGCCACACACGGAGGCAGTGGCGATTGTGTGGCTGTAGCAGCAGCCTTTTTTTTTATCCCTCCTTCTCCACCAGTTTGGCACCTGGGCCCAGATGCCCCAGTCACTCCACCCTAATTGTGTCATTGTGCATTGTATTTCCCTCAGTCTTGCTTGCTGGAGCTGTTTCACATTTATAATTTGTAGAGAGAAAATAAAAACAGCTCATCAACCTCACCGTTAGGGACCTTGTCTGGGAGGTGAAATATTGATCTTTTATACAAAAAAGTAGTTATATTATACCAAGTGGAAAAGCGTCAACAGGAGAAATTGAAAGTAACCCACCTTCAAATATCCTAAAGCAGGCAAAATGAGGAGGACACTCTCCCTGGAGGTGGGAGTTGTGGGTTCAAGCCTCCTCAGGCAAACAAGATAATTGAACTTGGGTTTTCCACGGCATAGGGAAATTCTCTAGCTACTGGACTATTGGATGAAAGGGGATGTGAGAATGATGGCAGCATCAGTAATGATTTGGCAAATATTTTTTCTAATAGAAACAGTTCCATAAATGAAAGTTACTTTCACAAGTAAAAGCTCTGTTATCCGGCATCTCACGGGAATGGGGGATGCCAGATAGCAAAATATGCCGGTTAATTGAGCAGCCCTGGCCGCTGCTTCTCCCACCACATCTGGGGTGTCCCTTCACCCCTCCCATGGCATCACCACCCCTCCTGCGGGCCCTGCAGGACAGGGAGGCAGGCCCCGCACAGCCCCACGCAGCCTGTTATGCCCCCGAGCCATAGGGGCTTGGAGAAACCAGAAATGCCATGGTGGGCACTTCCAGTTTCACTTTATCTTACAAGCCAGCATGCCAGTTGGAAGAGCATGCCAGGTTGTAAGATGTCAGTTAACAGAACTTTTACTTTTGAAATGACCAAAACCACTTTTTTCAGCAAATAACCCATTTTCCCAAATATTACCCAGTGTTGTGGCTCCTACCATTGAAATGGACTTAGTTTTTTCATGCTAACTTTTAGCAGTTAGTAAAGGAAACAAAATCCACCTCCTCCCACTTCCACCACGCCCCCCAATTAGTAGGAATAGTTGTTTAGAACAGAAGAGATTTTTGTAGTGGGTATATTTTTATTTAAAGGACATTAAGAAATAAGATCATCTGGCTTTTTATATGGTGGTTAATAATGCCACTGCACCTGAGTGAGGAATGAGTCTATCCTAACATAAAGCCATTCTTTTATATAGATAGGAATGCTTTCCAGTCTAGCCTCCTCTATGGAAATTGGATTTCTGCTAACTCAGCTAAAGTCTCAGACCATAGCACAGGATAGCATGGCTCTCCTTTTTCTTTAGAGGTGTTAAAAAAGGATCAAGAGAGCACTAGAGTAGTAAAGACCAACCTTTTTGTTAGGCATGTCACAATTTAGCCCCACACTCTCCTTGGGTGCCACTCCAATCCCCTTCTCCTGCCTGATCTGCTGCTCTGTTTTCTGCTTCCTTCCCTGTGCTCCCAGTGTTGCTTTCTACTCCCTGCCGCATGTGCCACTGTGCTCCCGGCTTCCTTCCCAATGTGCTGTGTACCACCCAAAGAGGCTGCCCGTGCCACTTGTGACACTTGTGCCACAGGTTGCCCCCCTCCCCACCCCGAGAAACGTACCAATCCATCACAACACTGAAAGAAGGGTAACTTAATTTCCTCTTTTGTTTTAAGTAGAAAAGAGGCAGTGATCCAACTGGCCATCTTATGCTGCTCATAATTATGGTCAGTTTAAAGATTTCATTTGGGTGATTTCCAAACCAATGACTGCAAGTGAAGCCAGCACACTGTGAACTTTATGCTTTATCAAACTCCAAGAAGAACTTACAGAAAACTACAGGCTTAATTCTATAAAGTGCTTATTACCTCCTGTGAGATACTGAACACTTTCAACTCCAACTGAGGTCATTCAGCCCACAGTACACAAATTCTACTTCATCTTGACCTTGATACAGTATAGACAATCAATTTGAAGTAACATTTGATTAACAAAAGGCAAAGAGTGAAATGTAAACAAATGCAATGAAATACCTGCTGTGATTGTTGTCATATGACTCTGTGTCTAGCACTGAAGAGTTACTCTGAGGAGCTTGCCTTGAAAAGCTACTTTGTCATAGAGCTGCTGCTTGAAAAGGGAAATGCTCACAAACACAGAAAAGGGAAGAGAGGGCTGCAAAATCTGGCCAGAACCACATGTCGTTGCTCCATTGACATTCTCTCTATGACTTCTCCTAGTTGACTGAACAGATTAAGGCAGATGATGGAAATATTGAAAGGAGAACCAAAGCCATTTTAAAAATGGATAGGTGGGTAATAAAAAGATTAAATAGATAGTAAAGCCAAAGCACTGGGTCAGAGAGATGGTAATAGCATAGAAAAGAACCAGATCAAATGAAGTATTACTTTCAGTTAAGAGAGATAAAGGCAAGGTAGTAGCACCTTGGATATAAAAGGATCCAAGTAAGGAAGGCTTTGTATTAAGGGGTGTAGCAGGTCAGGTGTTCCTCTAAAATAGAGGGACAGGAGTTGGTAAGTATGTAATAGCAGTGTATAGAAAGGAAATGAAATAGGGTAGAAATGGTTGCACAGGTAAGTCAGGAAGTGTAGGGTTAATAATGGCAAGAGGGAGGGATTAGAACTAGGACTGATCCCACCATGGCTACTGGAGGTTCAACTGGAGGTTAACAATGATGAGAGTGGCTACATTGGGAAGTTGTTGTACCTGAGGAAAGGAAACACTAACATTTATTTTATAGCTCCTACTTGGTATGCAGATTTCATTTGTAGTTCCCACAGCCTACAATTGATGATGATATACTCCTCTCTGTTTACAGAAATATGATATTCACAATTTGAAATTAAGGTTACAAAGCCATCTTGGTGGTACTGAGTTCCCTATTATTATTTATTATTATTGTATGGCTATTGATGCCAAGGGCAGTTTTCTTTGTCTTACAGCTGGCATATATCGGGTATCTGATGCTGTTCAACTACATTGTGTTAGTGAAGATGGATCGCTGGCCTTCTACACAGGAATGGATAGTGATCTCTTATATTTTCACACTGGGAATAGAGAAAATGAGAGAGGTAAAATCAGCCTGAGAGATCCAAAACCAGAAAATAAGCTCACATGTTTTTCACATTTTTAGATATTCATTGTTTTTCTCTGAGCATACTGTTGGGGTGGGATTACCACAAACGTAATGTTTTTTTCCAGAAAAGCAGAGGAGGCATTGGCATTTTTAGTAGGTTTCTGAGGGAAACTTGGGTTTCTGAGGCAGGGGAAGAGATTTAAGGATGAGATATTAACAAAAACCCCTCACCTAAATAACATCCCTAATTTATGAAACAGCTTGGGGGTGACTTCCCTTTATTTATTGACATATATTTATTCAATAATTGTCTCAACTAATGGCATGCATTTCCCAAAAGATTCTAAAGGATGCAGAGACAAAGAGAAACATATTTATGATTGCATTAAAATGCTATAAGATATAGGCTGAGCAGAATTTTATCATCCTCTACCCCTCCTCCCTCTCTCCCCGTAGCTACTGCTGTGTCCTTTTCACTTGGCCTAATGTGTATTTATTGCACAGTGATACCAAAGGCCACATTCTGCTCTAACATTAGTAGATGCAGCTTCCATTGACTACCATGAATGGGGCACATTTATACCCCTGGGCTGAATTTGGTGTTGTATTTGTATTTTTCACCAGTAATTGTATTTTTAAATGCCTTTGAGGACTACTGAAAAAGGTATTTTAAAACAGTTGCTTAAAACTGAATACTGCCTTCAAAAATATTTACAGTAGATTATAGTTATAAATAAAATAAATAGAATTACAGCGTGATGGGGTAGGACATTGGTTGAGTGGATTGTGATGAACATATTTCATTAAAGAAAAAGACGTCAGTAAGCAACCACAAGAGGGCTCCACAGCACTGGTAAACAGCTATATTGGAATTCAGTTAAATATTTTTTGTGAATATTTGTTTCATTTTTTTTCTAATCATTCACTTCAGCTGTTCTTTCCACAAATATTCCAGCAAGAATGCTTGTGAAGCTAGAGTTCTCAGTGAATATTGGAGATTATTCATAGAAAAGTAATCTGAAATCCATACTGAAAACCTAACTCTAAGAATTGCACTTGTTCTTTTCAAGGAGCAAAAATATACCATACGAGTCTGCTCAAACATGCTCAAATTCTAAATATAGAATACTCAAAGCAAGCTGCTTGCAAACAAGCTAATGGCAAGGAATTATTCATGGAAACGGTTTGGTGAATAGCTTCAAATGACAAATAAATTCAGGAAAACAGTAACCTGCTCACAGATGATTTTGCAGAGAAGTGGCTAAATTCACAGAACGAATGATTTTCATGCATTATTTTCCCAGCTGTGGAACACTATTGTCAAAGGTTTGTTCAAGTAAAAGCATCAATCTTTTGGATGAAATGCAAATTAAGGTCCTTATTATTCATCATAAATTCCATGGTACTTTTATGCAGTTTTTGAGCACTTTTTTGTAGTTTCCATAAATATGAATTTTCTGCTGCAGTACATTTCCAGCTACCTAATTCTGCTTCAAATTAGGATCAATCAATTTGAGAACTGGAAAGGGATACTGAAATTCCAGTCCCTTCTCATGGATTTGAGCGATATATATTTAGTTTTGTTTTATAAAGGAAAAACTTTTGACCTGCACATAGATTAGAGATGGAACATGATTCCCTAGACCATCCAATTTCTAAAGAGGCACCAGAAACTTGTAAGATATCCATAAACATCATCGGGTTCTATCAGCTCGCTTTGGGACTGTGTGATATACCAATGATTGCCTGGGGCTTTCTCTAGCACTTGAAGTGAAGATGGTTCAAATCTTGGTTCTTTACCTCTTCCATATCTTTTAGATATTGATGTCAGAGCCTGGGAAGCTGTTACAGAAGGTAAAGGTGTGGCTCCAGGAGTACTGGAATGTCACGGATCTCATAGCCATTCTCCTGTTCTCTGTGGGGATGGTGCTTCGCCTGCAGGATCAACCATTCCGGAGTGACGGGAGAGTCATATACTGCGTGAACATCATTTACTGGTACATACGTTTGTTAGACATCTTCGGAGTGAACAAGTATTTGGGACCATATGTGATGATGATTGGGAAAATGGTAAGAGAAGTCTCATTGGTCTTTCCATGCTTTTGTTTGACTCTGTTTCAGTTCAACTCAATACATTCTTTTTGTATATATTTGACAGAACAATATTTTCATGTAACCCCAAAAATCAGTGCTTTCCATTATAACTGCAGACAAACAAACCAGAATGCCCAAGGTTGTCCTCCAGTATAGGAAAGAGGATCTTTCTCTCCTCTGAGCTTCTACCGGTTATTAAACCAGGCTTTTATATTTTTCATGTCATGCTCAAAGACTCCCTTTCAACAGAAAATTTCTTGCGTACCTCAGGTTACCCATGCATAGAAGATCATAATTCTCACCCATGTTGCATGGGTTTGCGAGGAGGTCTCTGTTGCTGCTGCAGAGCATGGTTCTATCACAGGGGCAACCTGCATCCCCCAGGAACCTCCAAAAGGATCCCTTCCTGTGATATCTGAAAATCCACCCATGTGACCACAGCATCTGTACACATCTGATACACAATATCAAGAGGATTAAGTTACAAATGGTGTGAGAACCATAACTGAGCTTTTGCATTTTGTTAAATCTCAGAAATGTGGCCTTAATTTAGGTTTTAGGTATGTAGGAGCACATTTTCAAAATGCAAAAACTCAGGTCCAAGTGGCCAAAGCCAGCTATAGTTTAGTACACTACTGCATGTAAAACTGCCCATGTACACTGTATGGGTACTTAAGTGACTAGCTCTTTGGGTTCATCAGTTTACGTCCTTATCATGTTTTGTGCGCAGGTCCCTGGCTTTTATTTTTAAGAATTGGTTCATGTATTTCAGATCATTAAACCACACTTTAAAAAATCAGTGTTGAGTACATCTTGGCCCTATGCACCATGAATATGGGCAAAGTAAATATTAACTTTGGAAAAAACACATATTCATGTTTTTATTAATAGTAAACCAAATAGTATATTATAATTCAGAAGTACTCTTTTGTAAGCCTAATTTTCCATGTTATATACTGAATCAGACTCAGCTCAGTCAAGTTACATGAAGACTGAGCATATCTCTTCTCTCATATTCAACACATGCCCTTCCCCCCAGTACTTCAAGACGAGAATACCAGAAACACCCCATGATCTATGATACACAAAGACTGAATACAAGTCCCATTATTGGCTCTCTTCCTGCCAGTGTTACAAATGCAATAAGGTCACTCTCTGTTTGGTGCATGGGAGTAAGTCCCCAGGCTGATAGTGTAAAATCAAAGAGAAAGAATGTTTTTAAGAGAGAGAGAGAGAGAGAGAGAGAGACCAGACCACAACAGAGGCTGTTTGAAAACTAGCATTTCCTGAAAAAAAGGATTTTGAGAATCTATGACTTCCACAAGGGAAGCCAAGGAAACCACGATTACATAGCAGGACCTCCCAGAACTGCAGTTACCTACAAAGCACTCAGTAGTTCTGTTCATGCAGCTGTAGATTGCTAGAATGAGAAAACAGGATTCAAAGATGAGAAGAAGGACAAAAGGATCTGATACAAATGATCATTATGTCTGATGCTGTTTGTTTCATAAAGCTAAAGAAAAATGCCAAATAGCTATGCATTCCTCTGTTTTACCATTAAAGCCAAAACAGGCACTCAATTATGCTCATATTGTCAACAACAGCAGCCTGAAAACTAGTTTAAGAATAGACAGATTGACAGGCCCCTAATGGCTCAGGCTCTGACAGTCCACATAATGATTGATTGACTTAACTGCCACTAGGCCCAATTCAGCAGTGACAGAAATGATAGTGTATATTGTACTTTGGGTGCAGGAGGGCCTAGAAATGGGTAAAAGTAGAAAAACTGATATAATTAGCATCTCTTTGACATCCCTGCATGTGCACGATGAGTATTACTCTACACCACCTTGTTAATCTATAGCAGGGGTGCTCAACCTCTGGCCTGCAGGCCAAATGTAGCCTGTGGAGCATCATATCTGGCCTGCGGGGCTCCCCACAGGTTGGGATATTTGGCAATGGCATTAATATGGTCAGTCCTCCCCCCCGCTTTTAGTTGAGTTAAATTTAGCTCTCAAAGCACAGGAGCTGTTATGGACACAAAGTAGAGGGGCTGTTTTATCTTACACCCTCTTGCTATTTAGTTTTCCTACTTCATCCTTAGAATCATAGGATCAAAGAAATGAGGGTTGGAAGGCACCTTAGGAGGTTATCTAGTCCAACCCCTGCTCAACCAGAGTCATCCCCAACTAGGTCATCCCAGCCAAGATTTTGTCTAGCTGGGTCTTAAAAATCTCCAAGGATGGAGATTCCACAACCTCTCTAGGGAACGTGTTCCAGTGTTTTACTGCCCTCCCAGGGAGAAAGTTTTCCGAATATCTAACCCAAACTTCCCTTGCTGAAACTTGAGAGCATTGCTCCTTGTTCAAAACCGGCCCCAGGACCAACCTCTGGGGCACTCCACTTGATACTGGCTGCCAAATAGACATTGAGCCATTGTCTGCTACCCTTTGAGCCTGATGATCTAACCAGTTTTCTATCCACCTTACAGTCCATTCATCCAAACCATACTTCCTTAATTTGCTTGCAAGAATGTTGTGGGAGACTGTATCAAAAGCCTTGCTAAAGTCAAGGTATATCACAACCACTGGTCTTCCTGCATCCACAGAGCCAATCATCTCATCATAGAAGGCAATCAGGTTGGTTGGGCATGATTTGCCCTTGGTGAATCCATGCTGACTGTTCCTAATCACCTTGTTCTCCTCCAAGTACTTAGAAATGGATTCCTTGAGGATCTGCTTCATGATTTTTCCAGGGACTGAGATGAGGCTGACTGGTCTGTAGTTCCCAGAATCCTCCTTTTTCCCTTTCTTAAAGAATGGGCACTATGTTTGCCCTTTTCCAATCATCTGGGACCTCTCCCAGTCACCAGGAGTTTTCAAAAATGGTGGCCAGCGAATCTGTAATCACATTAGCCAGCTCCCTAAGCACGCTCAGGTGCCTCCTGTCCAGCTCCATGGACTCTTACACATGCAGCTTTTCCAGCTAGTCCCTAATCTGTTCTTTCTCCAGTGTTGGATGCTCACCTCCTCCCCAAACTGTGCTCCCACATTCAGTAGTCTGGTAGCTGACCTTGCCTGTGAAGATTGAGGTGAAAAAGGCATTGAGTACTTCAGCCTTTTCTGCATCCTCTGTCACTAGCTTGCCTCCCTGCATTTAGTAAAGGATCCACACTTTCCCTGATCCTCCACTTTTTGCTGACAAACTTGTAGAAACCCTTCTTGTTACCCTCCACATCCCTTGCTAGCTTCAGCTCCAATTGCACTTTGGCCTTCCTGACTTCATCCCTGCATGCCCAAGCAATACTCTTATACTCCTCTCTAGTTGTTTGTGCAAGTTTCCACTTCTTATAAGCTTCATTTTTGTGTTTTAACTTAGTGAAGAGTACCCTGCCAAGCCAAGTCTGGTTTTCTGAAGTCCAAGGTCCTTACTTTGTTGCTCTCCTTCCTTCCTTTCCTCAGGATCCTGAACTCAAATCATCCTGTGGTCGCTTCTGCCCAAGTTGCCATTCATTACTACCTTCCCTAACAATTCTTCCCTGTTTATGAGCAGCAGGTCAAGAAGAGCATGGCCCCTAGTTGGCCTCTCCAGCACTTACGCCAGGAGGTTGTCCCCAACACTCTCCAAAAACCTGGATTGCCTGTGCACTGCTGTATTGCTCTCCCACCAGCTGTCCCAGCATAGTGATTGAAGGCCCCCATGAGACCCAGGGCCTGTGATTAGGAAACTTGCACTAGCTCTTTGAAGAAACCCTCATTCACCGGATCCTCCTGGTTTGGTGGTCTATAGCAGCCCCCCAAAAAACCCTTGTTTTTATGCACTCAGCCATTTCCAGCATATTCATTTTACCCACTCACTGACTGCCCAACTGGTGTGAGTGGCACAAATTTGTAAATCACACGTTTTCTGGCCAATATAAAACCTGTCAGCCCTATTCATATCATGCATACACTTCCATGGGATTTGTGCCTGCTTGCTCTAGGCTGTTTGATTCACTGGCTACATTTTTGTTCAATCTATGGTTCATTTTAGTTCCTTGGGTTATACCTAACATCTTTCATTGCACGCATGTGGGATGCACTGGCCATCATGATGGAAAATTTAGTGGATTAAATATATTGTAAGGACAGAGTCTCAAAAATGTGTAGAATCTGGATCTGCACGTTGTTTATATTTACACTGGAATTTAAATTATAAGCAAAGTTGTAGAAACTCCAAGCATCAGACACCTCTCTGTGGCTTCATTCCTCCACCTATTGCATTGATTTCAATGTACATGAGTAAATTAAAGACTGCCTCTTTATCTGTGTCTGTACAGAACCAATTCTTTGGGTGCTACTACAGCATAGATAAAAAATAATACGCATTGCTGATTATTAAAATATTAAATAAACATTAAATAGTATATGCGATTTTTCAATTTAAGTTTAATCAAGAAAGGGAGGGGCACATGTGAGTTAAAAGTGATGGTATAAAACAAAAGTAAAGAGATGAAAATCAAGTGCCTGAGAAATACCTGAATTTTCCATTTTCTACTTATTTCAGTGATTGAATATGTTAATCAAAATCTACCTCTTTGATTTTTAGACGATAATATAATTACACCCTTTCCATTTGTGGGTAGAATGAAATGGCTCTGACGTGCTGTCAAGAGAGTAAGAAATGAGTTAGCTACCTTTGCATACACACACCAGCCTCCAAACTGTATTTCTTTGTCAACAAGTTAAGAATTGCAGTGGGGCTGATTTTATACATTCAGAGCTCTATTAAGTGTACTCATACAGGACTGAGTTGCATTTTACCAGTTCCAGGAGCTGGAACACAACAGGCAAACATGCTAAAGTCAATGGAAAGACTCATCAGATTCAACAAGCTTTAGACTAGGCCCATGAAAAGGACTGAAGATACCTACTGTGCTCCTTATGTATAAAATGACCACACAAAAAAAGAATTCTTGTTTCTATTAGGAAGGGTACTAGCACCATGAATGCTGGTAAGTATCCAGGAGAAGGTTAAGAGATTTTCTGTGATAGCTTCAGATAACCATCAAATGTTTTGGTTACTTGCCTGAAATGTATGTCCACCTGCCTGAACTCAGAGAGAAAAAACTGGCAATGTGCCTCCCTCCACCTTTTTTCTCTGGATATCAGTAAAGACTGAGGTGTGAAAAACTGCTGGGCCTCATCTTTCATCATTATCTGAACCACTATGGTTTCCACTATGGGCTGGAAAATGGCCTTTCTCAAGAGATTAACACTTCAAGGAGCACAGGAATAGAAGGGCTATCTGTGGTCATCCAGTCCAATTTTCTGCCATCACAGGTAATCCATGTCACATACAGTCCCATTCATAAACTGATTGAGCTCTTTCTCTAAACTATTTAGGTGTTTTGCAAGTATTGCTGCCAAACATGTTTTAGCTCCAAGTGGTTCTTTTATCGATATTTTTATGCAGAACAAAACCCTCCTCCATCACCACCCAGAATGTGGGTCTCAAACTCTCTCTCTCTTCTTCCCCAATAGCATTCCCTTAGATTTGCACATACCAATAAATACAGTGAAATATGCTAATCACAAACTGTCCTTTACTGTTTAAATATATATTCTTTATACTTCATCTCTCTTTAGTTCCCATGTTCCTCCTTTTCCTGTCATTCCATCTCAATTTTTTTTTCATTTTTTTCATCCTTTTGGTTTTACTTATGCATGTATTTATTAGATTTGCACACAGTCCTTCACCCAAAAAAAGCTTAGGGAGGCTTACTGGGAAATGTATAACTGATAAAATCAGATAAAGTATTTAATGAGATATTTACTTTTATAATAAAAACATCCCAAGCAATACCCCAACTTACCTTGCTTGCTAAACACCTGCCCAAATAAAAAGGTTTTGGAAGATGTCCGGGCTTGGGCTCTGATAAACTATGATGGGAAGGAAGTTTCAAAGCAGAGGAACTACTACCAAGAATGACCTCCCACTTGTTCTGTGAAGTGAACTTTGTGCACCTATAATACTTGCAGGAGGTGGCTCTCAGCTGACCATAGGAATTGAGGTGGAACCTAGACCCTTTAGGGCCTTATAAGTCAAAACCAACACCCTGAATTGTGCCCAGAAAAGTATTGGGAGCCAGCGCACACTGGAGTAATGTGTTCCTAATGGCCCAACCCCATCAGAAAGTGAGACATTCCTCAATTCTTTCCTTTCAAGCTCCTCATAGTTTCTCCAGACAGACCCATGTCCCACCTGTCCCTTCCCTTCACTCTGGCCTGCATCTCAGTACATACAGAAATGCGTTTATCCTTTCTGTATGAGTTTCTTGCTCTGTCTTCGCTCTCTCCTCTCTCTCTTTCTCCCCCGTTGCAGTAAGGTGAGCTTTCTGGACACATTTTGACCCCTTTTCTCTATTTATTTGAGGTATTTGGCAGCAATTCCAGCACTTCCATATATGTCACTGTAGTGCTGTGCTCCTCCTCAGCCTCCACTAACCTGTGTCATACTCCTCTGTATCTATCAGCCCTTGAACTGAGCTTGTCCACCTGCAGGTGGCTGCAGAAAACCAGGGAGCCAGTTTACAAGGGATGTGCTGTAATGCTAATTTAAAACTGTAAGTGCACACTTCTGTATAATTTCCAAAGCAATTCCCAATTGCAGCTAGAACCACAAAGCACAGAAGTGTCTTGAAAATCTTCCCCTTCCTCCCACATGTTACCCAAACCTTTTTTAAGCCTCAAAAGTAGTTAGGTCAAGTTTTGGGCAAAGATTTGGGTTGCTTTTTGTTCATTTGGTGCAATTTGCATACTCATGATAAGCACATGTAGGCCATGTCTACATGAGATGCTGACTGTGCAGTTGCTACTGCACAACTATTTAGTACTTGTTTATACTGGAGTACTAATACATACATACATACTAATACATACACTACATACTTTGGTATGTATACTGGAGTTACTGCACATTTGCACCAAGGAATGGCTTTTTTGTGACACTGACTGCATAGTAGATCATGACTACTGCGCAATAGCATCATATCATGCTTCCAGCCATGCAATGTTACTGCACAGTAGTCACAGGCTAGTGCACAGTCAGCATCTCATGTAGACGCAGTCATAAAGACTACAGGACTTTAAAGAGAGCTCTACAGTTGCTCCCCAGTTTTTTATGTTCAGATATGTTGTTACCTTAGTTATTTTTTAGTTTATATAGCACTTACGAGAGATGCTACAGGCACTCCCAGGAGTTTCCCATCCTCTAATGCTTTCCCTTGGGGTTCTCACACCTACAGCTAACCAGTACTTCTTGTGCCTACTGTATCCATTTGGGACACTGAGAATACTCAACTTTTTCTAAGCACTTCTCTGAATATATTCTGCAGCCAATAAGTAGTGATTTTCATACTCTAATGAGATGCCAGACAGTGGAGATACAGAGCTGAGCCCCCTGGATTACTTGTATATCACCTTTTGAAAATTTTCCCTTCCTCTGAGCACTCCATCCTCTGCTAGACACTTAGTAAATATACTAATCTCTATTTCTGTCAATATACCAACTTTGTCACCTTACCAGTGACCAATGTGCCTGTCCATAATGTTGCAAGAGGCTGTTCTGCCACACATTATTCCTGCTATGACCTTAGCCAATGCACCATTTGCCACAAAAACTTGTGCTTCATTTTGCCAAGACTGAGCCATAGGCATCAGTGAAGCTCTAATCATCCCTGACAACTTGGGCAGTCAAAAGGCATCTTATCTTACCAAACCTACGGGTCCTGAGCATTGAAAGTCCAGATGCAAATCAACTCAGGCAAGAACAAAGAACCCAAAGTCCCCAATCCTCACCTTTAAACAGCTTGTATGTGTAAAAGTGGTATTGTTGAGGTGATATTGTTGCCATGATGGTCCAAGAGATATACAAGAGGGAAGAATTCTTGTGGGTTATATCTTATATTGGAAGAACCACATATCTGGGATAGACACAGGCAAGATTTGGGGTATCACAATACCCTTCCTCAGGGTATATGCTGTAATTACAGTGCATCAGAACAGACTCGATTAACCAAGTCTGCTGGAGTGTGCTAAATAGCGTGCTCCAGCCAGCCTCCTCATCTCATGTATCAGTGTCCCCACACTTCAAAATAGCAGTGGGGCATTTTAAAGCTTGTAGAACAAACTTTAGCTAAAGTGCCCCTGCCGCTATTGTGAAGCGCAGGGACACTGATACACAACATGCTATGGGCGCTTTAATTAAAGCGGCTCTCAGAACCACTATAATTAAAGTGCCCCCCACCCCTGGAGCATGTGTAAAAACACCCTTAGTGTCTACACTGATAAATTTCTGTGCAGATTTTAGAAAGGCCCACAAGAATTCTTGCCTCTATGTAAAACTGAGGTAGTAGTCTCAGAAATAATTTTTGAAAACCACACTCTTGAACTTTACAAACCCTTTTTCAATCATACCATAGTTTAATTGTAGCCAAATACCTTTCTCTAATACTTCCCCCCCTCCTCTCTCTCTCTCTCCTTTTCCATCCTGTACTATTCAGATGATAGACATGATGTATTTTGTCATCATTATGTTGGTGGTTCTGATGAGCTTCGGTGTTGCAAGACAGGCAATTCTCTTCCCCAATGAAGAGCCTTCATGGAAGCTGGCAAAGAACATATTTTACATGCCTTATTGGATGATCTATGGGGAAGTGTTTGCAGACCAGATAGACCGTAAGCAAGTTTATGATTCTCATACTCCAAAGTCAGGTACCAAACTTTGATCAGGTGATGTCTTACAAGATTGTTTGTATGTTTTCAATAAATGGCTCGGGGTAGAGGACTCGTTCATCACAGAAGATGCTCATAAAAATGCTATTAGCAGTGGCTATTAATACTGGGGTGTCAATTTTAGAAGGTGTCAGTGGCACTTTCTAATGACTTCATAATAAATCTCTAATGATAAATTTATCTCATATCATTTAAGTGATTCTTCTTTGATGTTAGGGGGAAAATCCTAGGTATCCATGATAACTTCATCGGTATAGCTAAGGAATAATAATCCACTCCTTATTTTCATCCATTGATTTGATTTTGGAGCTAACACATTTTACTCAGCTTGATATTGAATATCCACTGTGAAAATTCTGGGCCAGGTCTTTGGCTGATGTAAATCAATGTCACTGTGCTGGACTGAATGGAATTGCACTGCTTTACCCTAGCCAAGGGTTTGATCCATTCTATTCCCCTTCCTCTGTGACCTTGTTCACTACCATTGTCACCCCTCATGTTAAATTATGTGATATAACACTTTGCAGACCACAAATATAGATATATATATATCCAGAAAATGCCAGTTTTCTATTTAAATTAAACCTCCTGGTGCCACCTGGTGTAGCTTGCCACAGAAGAGAAGTGAGCATGTGAAATGAAGCAGTGTGAGGAATGGAACAAACTAAAAATCAGATATATCATATCTTTAACAAACATTGACATGCAGAAATACTCGGCCCCTTCATTTCTGCTTAAACATGCATAGTTCTTGGCAGCATTTACAAATTAATATCTCTTCCAACAACAGATAGAATACGTTCAATCTACATTCATACATCAGTTCTTATACTGGATACAGCCATAAGAGAGAAGTGTTTTTCATGATAAAGTGCGTGTTCCTTCAGCACTGGAAGAGTTAGAACAAAAAGGTGTTTTGACTCTTCCTAATTGTTTAGCTACAGAAATAATCAACATCTTGGTAACTCAATTAATTCCCCACCACCACCAAGAGTGCTCAGATATACAGTATATGCTACTTGAAAGGTCACACAGAGAGCACACATATTTGCATTCTGTCTTCCTCCTGATGAGCACACCCTTCTGTACCACCTGATGAAAATGGAATCTCCTTTGCCAATCACCTCTCCATTTCGTCCACAAAGGCAGCATGGCATGTGTGCAAGCAAATTAAAAGCCTGAAACCAGAGAATTTCTCCATACATTTAGCTTTCCACTTGGTTCCATCTTTCATTTATTTTTTTCCAGAAATCCATTACGTTCCAAGAGCACTGTAAGGGTATAATAATTGGGAGGGGTGATATTTTCCCCTGTAAGCTGTGGCTTGCTTTCACAAATGGAATTCTGTCTGTCCCTCTACAAGTGGCCATTTATTGATGTTGTACTAAGAAACTAGCATAGTGCAACAAATGTGGCAATCTGGCTGGATAAAAAGATTTTCTTTTTTTTTTAATGACGTGCTGATTGTAGTTTAGAACCCGGAAACCCAAGAAAGAAAGTAACTTTTACCTCTAAAACAGTGTGGCAGGTTCTATTTCCTTGAATGAGGCCACAGGGCTTACCTGGTGAATCACACAAGTATCCAATGCCTAAAGGTACCAACGTAATTAGTGCTGAGTCCTAGAGAGACACGTGTCATGTTCACTTCAGCCAGGTATAAATGGAGTTGCATTATCCCTCTCTTGCAGGAAGAGGAACCTAGAGGTTGAGGCAGAGGAGGTCTGCAGAGAATCCTTGGGCACTTGTGCACGTGACAAAAAATGCCCGTTTTTGAGGTTTAATTGCATCACGCTGTACATGTGCAGGGTTTTATTACAATTTAAATGAGTTTGTTACATAGCAAACTAAACCACATCTGCATGTAGTTTAGTTTGCAACGTAGCTATTTGTAACATTGCAGCCTTTCAACAGCTTGAGCTCGGGGAACAGCTGGATTGGGATGGGTGCTGCCTCTGAGTTGGGGCACCACCCGCCCACTACCCACCCACCTGGGCATCCCTGAGGGGCGCTGCCACCATGGAGGGAAGGACCAGGGGTCCGCACAGCTCAGGGCCCACCAGAAGCTCACCCCACAGCTGCAGGAGAGGCAGACAGGTTTTGCAAAAAAAATAAAAAGGAGGATTGGGCCTCTTGCCCCTTTTTTTGTTTGCTGGTGGAGCCTGCCTGCACAAGCTGCTGGTGGGCCAGATAGGCCCTGAGCTGCAGAGGGCCCCTGTCCTTCCCTCCACAGTGGCAGTGTCCCCTGGGGCCACCGAGTGCTCCTCAGCTTGGAGGCAGCAGACCACCAGATCCAATTCTTCCACAAGCCCACCTGCTGGAAGCCCGCAGGGCGCTGCTCCTTGGGTGGGCTCAGGGAAGCGTTGGATCTGGTGGGGTAGTGTCTCCAAGCTGGGGCAACCCTGGCTTGCTAGCAACCCCCCCAGCTGGCCCAGGGGGCACTGTCACCACAGAGGGGAGGACCAGGGGCCCCTCTGCAGCTCAGGGGCTGCTCAGTCTGCAAGCAGCCTGCCTCCTGGCTGTGGGAGACACAGGCAGGCTCTGCAAAAAAAAAAAAAAAAAAAAAAAAGGACCAGGTCCCTCACCTAACAGTGACAGAAGCCCTTAAATTGAAACAGTGGGTTTTTAATCATCACAATTAAAAACTCACTGTTTCAATTTAGGGGACTAAACCCCCATCATGTATACAAGCGCCCCGTAAGAGCTACTCCTAATTCCTTCTTTCTGAGAGAGAGAAAGAGAAAGAGAGACTATGGAGGATTTTAGAATTTGCCACTCTCTCTTAGAGATTTTCAGTACAAGTTATATGCGTGTGAAAATAAATTGTCTAGAAAATGTTATCCAGTGGAATCAACTAACTCATGCAATTGACACATGTTGTGTTAACTTTTTGGACACTTATTTTTCTGCTGTTTGGAAATTAACTGCCATATTTTTCCCCACACTGTTCTAAGCTAAATCAGCCACTGTATTCTATTTTGAGTACTATAAAGTATTTGTACTTTCTCAAATGTGATTATATGCCTGTTCTAAACACTGTTGAGTTAACCTCTGAGATATAACCATACTTCACAGCTTGGGACTTTTCAATTTAATATTTAAAATAGAAAAGATTGTTCTGGGGTTTTTTTCACGTGTTTATTTTGACCCCATATTCTGGATGCAGATAGGGTGCTGGGTGCTGGCCTGCTCCATTGTGGCACTGCGTTCTAAAGGGTCCTGTTGTCTACTTGAGAAATGTACAAATATTTATGGTACTCAAAAATATTTTGACTTCTTTTTCTTTTGATCACTTTCTGTTGATTTGTGAAGCATGCCGTAACACTGACAGATCCACTATCCGGATCCACTTCATCGGGGGGGCAGCCTGTCCATCCATTGGATATGTTATTTTTAATTTTATCACAAAATACTGTGCTCTTAAAACACCAACTGTGTGTATTGTTCTAATCAAATGCATGCTCTGCCTATATCTATATATGTATGTGTTTTTCACAATAAGTGCTTGTGTTCATTTCATGTGGAAAAAATTCTCTTAATTGAAACATGCATAGATGCTCAACAATGCAGCATGGTCATTTAATCTCACTTGTAATTCAAAACATGAGGTCAGAACTCCTCACTTCTGGGAGTAAATAGTAGTAATATATTATCATTACTATCATATAATTATTATAATAATATGTTACTATAGGTTCTATTGCCTATGAAACACACACACATACAAGCATACACACATATGTGTGTGTGTCTGTTTATGAGTATATAACTACTATACGTGTATTGATTGCTGTTTATCAGTCAGTCATACATAATAATGAATAGAGGAAAGCTTTTAGGACTGTATTCAGAACAGATTTCAATTTTAAAACAAGTTAGAAACAAGATGAAGTTGGCCCAAAAATTCAAATTCAAAAGCAGTTTCTCTCAGACAAGCACAATCTTCACAATATTGTTTGTTGGTTAAAAAAAATGATACTTAAGTCAGGGAACTGATGATGCGCTATGGATGCTCTTCACTTTTAACCTGTCATTTCTAATCCAGTGAGGATCAACTGATAGAGATAACCAATGGCTAAGCAACCAAAAAGATGGCTAACTTTTATTCTAATGTCCTTCCTGGTGGACATGTATCCCCATTATAAAATTGCCCCTTGCAATTTGCACTATTTGACACCATTGTTGGCAATCCCAACAGAAACACAAAAGATTCATTTGCCACAGAGAATCAGTTTTCCTCTTACCTCCAGAATATGAGGCGGGGGGATATTATGAGTGCAATGTTGTCCACAGTGCACCTGTGAATAAATAGGAGTTTGGTAGGTAATATTAAATGTGGAGAGATAATAACTGTATATGACATTTTGATGGACAACAGCCACCATTAAAAAACCAAAATTTATCCCCATTTAGCATTTTTCCTGAATTTAGAATATTGAATAACCTTGAATGCTGTTGATAGATATTGAGGGGGGTTTTGAATAGCAACTATTGTATTTTAGCTCAGTGTCTTACATACTGAATTTGTTCAAAACAAAATACTTTTTTCCAATTGAGTTGAAGAGAAAATTGTGTCTTGTAAATAGAATTCTATAGGAAGGATACATTGCTTTATTACATGCCATGGACCCAGTTCTCATGTGCCCAAACCTACTTCACAACTTTCTGACAGCCTGAGAGGGCTTTAAAGTGAGCATAAATTACATTTCCATCTGCCTTAATGTCACCTTATGCTGTGAGGCAGGGGCAAAGGGGCTACTATAAATAAGTCCTGTAGATTTTATCCTAATTTGCATCCTGTCATATTGCATTCCTATAGACACCCCTCTTCTCCTTCTTTTGGACTTTTACTTAAGCGCCACCATCAACACAGAACATGAGGACTAACCTGGCAATTTTGCACATGACTGACTAAAAGACATCCTTGATCTTCTCTAGTTACTACATACTAGCTCTGCACCGCCAACAGATTTATTTTGGTA